CATCATTTCCATCCCTCCACCTCTTAACCATATGCCCCACTCCTTCATAAATTTGTGACCTCTTTTTATTTAATTATCATTGTTACACGCACGCATGCACACACACACACACACATAATCTACTGAGTCCATTTAGTGGTGCTAGCATGTACATTTGTTTACAGCTGACTATTTGGGATTGGATAACCTAACAGAAGGCTGGATCCTGAAGAAAACTGATTCTCCCTCTTTCAGCAGCCATTGATTGCCTGTCGTGCTTCATATAGGGGTGCAACCTTATAAATTTCCCCCATCCACAATGGCATGCCAACTGGTGGTGTCATTATGCAGGTCTTATTTAGGAAACTATAGTGTTGAGATTTCATGAGCACAGCTTCCCTGTCATGTGTAGAAGACACTATCTAGTAGCAGGCGTCCTGGTCCTCTCGTTCTTATGCTTTTTCAACAACTTCTTCTGTGATATTCCCTAGGCTTTGGGTGTAGGGATTTAATTACGGATGTTTCTATTGGGTCTGGGTGACCCAAAGTCACTTATTCTCTGCAGTTTGACCAGTTGTGGGTCTCTGTAATCTTCTCCATTTGTTATAAAAAAAAAAAAAAGCTTCTTTGAAGCTTCTTTGATGAGGGATGAGAGCTACACTTAGGTTTGGGTCTGAGGGTAAGTATTTGGAATAGAGTTAGAAACTATGTTGGTTTAGGAAGATAAAAGTAGATTCTCCTCTAAGGTCTGTTTTGCTAGGTTTACAGTATCAGACATGAATTCCTTACTATTGAGTGGGTCTTAAGTCCAATTAGACAGATGTTGATTACCCCCAAGAAAAAAGTGCCACTGTTGCACCATTGGGTTGTTATGGTTTGTAGGCTTTATACCTAGGTAGGACTATCAATGTTTTTTTCTCCCTTGGCAGCCTGGAGAGACCTCAGAAGGGAGGATTCCAGGTCAGTTTCAGTTCAGTTCCTCCAAGTCCTATATCAGAAATGTGTGGCATCTTCAGCAATAGGATTTTAACCTTCAAGTTCAGAGAGACAGCCAAGGGCAATGGCAATAGCCTATATTGTTTTGGAATCTCTTTGATTTCTTGACCCAAAAACTTGAAGGGAGGTTTCTCATGCCTGGCACTGTGTTTTTGTTTTAGTCTATGGCTCTCGAGGGAGCATTATCACCTCGTGTAGTGAGACTCCATTTAAATATATATGCATATATATACACACACATATTATATGATTTTAAGTGAGCTTATGGAATAATATGTTTCCCTGTTTTTTTCTTCAAACATCCTTAGTGTTACCTCGCCTTCCTTCCTTCCTTTCTCTCTGAATTACTCTCCCTCTCCCCTCCGTAGCTAAAGTCCTTCCCTCATTTTTCCTATTTCTGCCTTGATAGCAAAATAGTTAGGAAACACAAACGACTGAAGAATGGATGATGAAAATGTGGTACATTTACCCATTGGAATTCTATTGAGCTGTAAGAACAAAACCAAATCATGAAATTTACAGGCAAATGCCTCATGTTCTCTCTTATTTGTGGATCCAGCTCTGAATGTTTAGATGTGAGTACATAACCTGAAATAGCCACAGACGGGAGGAAAGTAGAAAGGGACAGGGCAGCCGGGGTGGGAGGGGTATGTACGACTCACTTCTTAAAACTTTTCAGTGAACACTTTCATGAATCTAGACTAGAAACCTTCAGAATCACAGTATAATTGTCCTTTGAAACAAGTTCCACAAGTGATACAATTAGTGGTTATTGTGAAAATAGCAATTGTTTGCACTATGTCACTGTTGTATGTATTTTTTTGATTGACAAGGACTGGAGCAATTCTGTATCTGATTTGAATGAGATTTCCAGACAGTCAGACAGTGACATCTCTGAGTTTCTTGGCTCATGTTACTTTTTCTCAGTCTAGGGACAGAGCTTGGCCCTGGTGGAAGTGTCAGAGTGCTTTTGTTTTTCTCAAAGACATTCATTTGCTGTGAACTCAGTGCTGCGTCTGTCGACTGTCATCAATGGAATGCTGATCAAATTTGGCACTTTATCCAATGCATGTGAGTTCCATAATAATCAGAAGTATGAGGAAATCCTACTGTCTTCCAGTGAGAAGTTGGACAGGAGAAAGATGGCAGATTGTATTGGGTACTTTTCTGTTGCTGTGATAGAAACACTGATCAAAGCAACTTATGGATGGAAGAGTTTATTTGAGCTTACGGTTCCAGGGTATTATAGTCCGTCATGGCAGGGAGGCATTGTGGCAGGAGGTGGCCAGAGCAGAAAGCAGAGTGTGCACATCATCAAGCAGGCACAGGAAACAGAGCTTGACTCAAGGCCCAGCAAGGCTTAACAATTCTCTAAACCCACACCCAGTGATGTGCTTCCTCTAGCATGGCCACACTTTCTAAGACCTCCAAAGCAAAGCCACCAAGTGGGAACAAAACGTTCAAACACTGGGAGCCTATGGGGGACATCCTCATTCAAACCACCACACAAGTGCTGCAAGGCCAGCTTCAGGATGACACATCCTAATAAAATTTCTGAAGAACATGAACACCATGTTATTTTATCCAGCAGTACCTGTGCTGTTAACCCTGAAAGGGAAATAATGAGGAGGGAACAATTAGTTTTAAAATAAGGCTGAAAATCTCTAAACCTTGAGGATGGCTAAAACATATAAATAAATTATAAAAATTGTGTTGCATAGCTTTAGTTGTCAACTTGACACACGTGGGTGGAAGGAGCCTCAATTGGTGAATTGCTTCCATTGGACTGGCCTGTGACCATGTCTGTGGGGCATCTTACTGGTTGTTGGGTGATGTGGCATGGGAGGCAGCCAACTGTGGGTGGTGCCACCCCTGGGCAGGTGGACCTGTGTTGTAGAGGAAAGCAGGTTGAGCAGGGGCCCGGGGAGCAAGCCGGTAAGCAAGTTTCCTCCATGACCTGTGCTTCAACGCCTCCCTTCAGGTTCCTGCTCTGAGTTCTTACCTTGGGCTCTCTCAGTGATAAACTGTGACCCTGGAGATGTAAGACAAATAAACCCTTTCCTCCCCAAGTTGGTAGTGGTGAGCCTGTTTTGTCACAGCAATGGAGAAACAAACTGGAACAGAAATCAACTTTATATCCATTTGCCCCACCATGATGACTCCAAACATCTGTGTCTGAACAGGTTCATGCATGCCTGCTTCTGTCTATCAAAAGTAAGCACAGACTCTAGAGGAAAGATACCTCAAAAACTCTGACAACAAGGAATTGTGTATTACTTTTTAAGTTGGAAAAATCTTAGCTAATGTGAATGCTGGCCAAATACTAATGAATGTAGCCAGGAGGTTCAGAATTAAATAAGTAAAATATATAAGAAATTAACAAGAAACTATAGAAGCAAGCCTTGCAGAAATTCCAATCAATATTTTCAATGACAACTAAAAATAATCGTTGAAAAATATTGTGTCTGGGGGCTGGGGAGATGGCTCAGTAGTTAAGAGCACCAGCTGTTCTTGTAGAGGACCCAGGTTTGATTCCCAGCACCCGCATGACAGCTAAAATGATAAATAAAATCTTTAAAAAGTACTGTGTCTGAGGAAGCAGATTAGCCCAAAGGATACAGAGCTAATAAACTAGAAGAGAAATATTAATGAATCAATCATACAGATGTGTATAAGACATAGAGTACAAATAAGAAATATGCTGAGGAAGAAGGTAGGAAATGGGAAAACTAGGATGGAAGGCATTAAATTGCCCTCTAGAAACTTCAGGAGAAAGTAAGAGGGAAGAGGAAACAGTTACAAATTCAACGTTAGGGAAATGCGTACAAATGAGAAAATGCCTGAGTGTTCAGTCAGGTTCAAGAAGACTCATAAACCTGAGCAGAAGTAAAAATGAATGTGCTCAAAAATGTATAAAAGTAAACTATAGCTACTTGAGGAAAATAAAAGATTATAAAAGTATCCTAAGGGAAAAAAAAACAACATTGATTTACAAACAGCAAACCGATAGGCTATTTTTTCACACTGAAAACACACAATAACCAGCAGATGATTCTAGACACATATGCACCATCATTCAACTGTAAGAGGAAATTGAACAGGCATTTAAAACAAATAGCTTTGCTGCAAGTACATTAATCTGTGTATATAAATTTAACAATAACACTGAGGTAGGAAAATGATAAGAGAAAAAGACAAAAATGCAAATTTTATGAAAATTGTCTATGAAAATTAACAATGGAACAGAAAGTAGTAAATCAGGGTTAAAGTGTGCTAAGATCTTTTCCCTGTTTACAAAGGAAACGTTATATATGTATATATATATATGTATATATATAGATAGATATCATGTGCTTGAGATTTTCAGTGTACTATGCATGATAAAATTTAAATATAGTAACTTACTGAATAGAAATGGAGTTTGTTGTCAGATAGGGTGGCACATGGCTATATACCAGCAGAGGAAAGCAGGAGAAAAGTCATAAGTTCAAAGTCAGCCTGGGCTGCGTAATGAGACCCTGCTCACCTGGCTTTCCCAACTCCTACACCCTCCACCCCCACAAAAAGGAAAAAGAAAGAAAGAAAAAAGAGGGGAAAATGGAGTATATCATCTTCAGAGTTGTAAGGAGGTTTAAAGAAAAATTAAAAAGACAGAAAAAAGAAAGACAACAAATGAAAGAAAAATGAAAAAATAAGGTGAATTATAAATAATGTGATTAATCCAATACAGCAATTATGAAAGCACATAAATTAATAAATCGATGGCACCTTCTATCTAAAAGCCAAACACATTCAGGAAAAGCTTTAAAACAATAACAAGTTACATATTTGTTGTGTATTATGGCCAAGCAGCACTACTGTCTTGCTGCTGACAACTTAAGTCTAAGCAAAGAGTGGGTGGGTGCCGGAGCACACTAGAAGGCAGGAAGTGAAAGGAAGTCCAAATTAAAACTGGAATGCTTTAGCTCCCACTTTCCTTTGCTTAAATCTGAGGACACTTACAATCTGCAAAGCCTGTCAGGAGAGTTTGTCACTTGCAGAAAGAATCCTGTGCTGTTTCTTCTAATCTGATCAAAAAGAAGACCAAGCTATAAACAACTAAAGGTATGGAAAAGTGGGTGGATTTTCTTACAAGAAAGAGTCAGATAAGAAAACCCAAAATTCTGGGAAATAACTCTGCTAAAACTCTGATTTAGCCTGTTACATATCTGAGGCAGGTAGCAAGCAATTTAGCTTATGATCAAATGACTCCAGAGACATTTCAGCTGTCAAAAATTGTGTAGTCCAGTCCACTAAGTTAAAGGCTTGGTAAGTAAAAACTTCAAAATTTTCAGGGAAAAGCCTCATAGCACAGAGACTCTACAATATGATATTCCCAATGTCCAAGACAGCCAAATTACTCAGCACACAATGATTCAGGAATATTAGCTCTTTTTCAATGAACTTAGAAGTCACTCCCACATGACGGGGATGTTTGAATGAACAAAAAATTTAAGCAGACACAGACGTATGCCATGGGGACGAAGGAAGATATGCTTACAATGAATTAAAATACAGAAATATCACAACAAAAAGAAATATAAGTAAATCTTAGAATTAAGAAATACAGTATCTCAAATAAAAGAAATTGATGGGTGGTATTAAACAATAATAAGGATAATGGAGATTTATCAAAATAAATCAAAGGGATTTTGTTCATGTGGAGGTATACACAGAGGCCAAGAGATTAGAATGGGATCCATAACAGGAAAAAAAGGTTTTTAGGGAGAGAGGTAGGGAGGTATTAGAACAGCAGGTGTTAAGGTAGTGGAAGATTTGGGGAAAGCAGGGTTTAATGGGAATGTCTCAAAAAGATGAAAAAAAAAAAAAACTTTGATGCAGAGGTTTACTTAGCCTGGGTTCAATCCCCAACATTGGAAAGTATTAATAGAGATTACACAGTGTGAAAACCAGAAAGAGAAAGAGAGAGAGAGAGAGAGAGAGAGAGAGAGAGAGAGAGAG